CTGCAGGCCTCCAAGAGCACTCGGGGCACCAGTGGGACGGTCGCCACGAAGGGTGCTCTCACCTTCCTGCTGTTTCTCCCTTCTCGAAAGTGTACTCGGATTTCAAAGACCTGATCGGGCAGATCCTCATGGAAGTCCTGATGATGTCGACCCAGTCGAGGGAAGAGAACCCCTTCGCCAGTCTGACGGCGACGTCCCAGCCCATCGCCGCCGCCGCCCGCTCTCCTGATAGAAACCTGGTCCTGAACGCCGGCTCCAATCCGGGGACGAGCCCCACGCTCTGCAACGTGGGGTCGTTTGGTTCCAGCTCCTTATCGAGGTAAGGGGGGCCTTTTGTAACCAGCCGGATTCTACACTAGGCTTTGTGAGTCGACGCCAGGAGCCTCTGTGCGTTTTGAAACCTTTTTTGTTTCCAAGTTCTCTTGTGCCAGGCGATGGACAGCCGCGTGGTTCTTGTAGGAGAGCAAGGCTTATGTCCGTGAAATGTGTAGCTGTTGTGAATCCAGCCAGCTCCTCTTTAGTCCCAGAGCTTTTATGACTTCTCTCTGCTGTAATAAGGGGGAGAATCGTGCGCTTTTTCTTAAATGCAAACAGAGATTCTCACGATGCCAGTTGGATGTGTTCCATAGGCAAGTGGTAATGCTTCCCCAACTTTATAACGTTCAGTTAGTTTCAAAACTGTTGGCGTGGATGACTCTCTAAGCCCGTGTGTTGAGACAACTACAGTCTGGCAGGGGAACGTTGAATCTTTCTCTCCTACTTTACGAAGTTCTAAAAGGCCTGTCTGTCTGTCTGTCTTTCTCCTCCTCCCTTCCCTTTTTCTTTGATCCTAGTCTCTACGGAACTAGCCCAGCTCCCGCACTCACCTCTTTGGCCGGCTCCTTCCTTGCCTCTTCTGCCAGCCTGGCTGCCCCTACGACCGCGCCTTCCCTTTCAGCCAGCCCTCATGTCCCACAGGCAGGCCCACTCGGAGCCCCGCCTTCCTCCCCAAGGTACCGCCCATACACTGTGGCCCACCCATGGGCCTTCCCGGCTCCTCTCGCCTCACCCTCGGTGGCCGCCTCCGTTTTCTCTCGCTCTCCAACTCCTCCAGTCACAAGCACCAGTCCTCCAGCTGCTCGGGCTGCTTCTTCGTCCAGGATTAGGCCTATAACAATGGCCTTGCCTCTGTTTACTGCTTCACCTGGGCCACTCGGCAGGCGGCCGTCCCTCCTGAGCAGGACACC